CCTAAAACCCTAAACCCCCAAACCCGGTTTCAGACTTCGCTTTGGGCTCCCAGGCCGGTGTTAAAGCTTCTGATCTACCAGTGGCCCAGAAAACCGACCTGCTTAAGGAACTATGTATATAGACACCATAATCTTTTTTATGGAGCTACAAATGTGTATGTATATATATATATATAGCAAACCATAAAATTGTTACGGCGCTATATTTAGAAACCAGGATATTTTTAAGGAGCTTAGCTATATAGAAACCAGAATATCTTGAAGGAGCTATATATATATATAAACCATGATAAGGAACCCTAACAAGGTAGGTCTTCTCGGCGTTTAGGGTTTAAGGTTTAGGGAATATAGGGTTTAGGATATATAAGTAGAGTGACTGTCGATCTCACGATTTACTATTTAGACCTGGGGGGGGTGATAAACGGGCTCTAAACCGTACACCCCTAAGAAGCTATATAAATTACGAGCCGCGCGGATTCAACAAGTTGGAGGCCGGGTCAGACGTATTGCAGCCCCAACGTATCTGTTTTGCATAAAGGCTTTTAAACCTTAGACTAGGCTTTGGGTGGTGGTTTATTTTGTGCTTTGGACTGACTACAAGGGTATATACAGTATGCTAACTATCCAGACCGCTTCATATCATGATCCGGTTACGAATCTTGGCAAAGTTGCACAGAGCCTATACAGGGAACAAGTGGGACCAGCAGAAGGGCTTGCTGCAAAGAATGTCGGAACAACTTGAAACAATGGCAACTGCGTGGTCAGCTTCCCTGATGTGCTGAAAAATAGAACCTGCAAACCCTGGTACACCAGCGCAAGCCCTGAAGCCACATTTCGTTGCATGTCGTTGCTTAGAGGACCTGAGAATTCAAGCCGCAGTTTGAAGCTGCAATTGGGCACAGGGATGAGGGAGCCTTAGTGAGGATGGCCCTGGCGGTACAGTTACATCAGCAGGACAGATCACGGGGGCAGCAGCAGAACCCTCATCCACTTGTCACCATGGTCACCATGGTCTCTCTTCAGCCGACGCTTGAGCTGGGGTTAAGGGTCATTGAGTTGAAGGCTAATTATTGAAGTCTTGACGTCATCAAGTTACACCAAACACAAACACCCCTCAAGCATACCAAACCCTGGCATCCAAATCCTACATCCCAGTCCCAGGACCCTGCACCCTGAATCCTCGAACTTGCGCGACCAAACCCGGAAAACGTCCGTGCCAGGTCGGCTCGTGACACTTCGCCTGAGCTTTGGCCAGCACCTCTGACTGCTCTCTGTGCCAGGGCAACCAAGGGTTGGATAATGTATCTGGGGATGTTATGGAGCTTGGGTTTAGGCCTATGTAAGAACAAGCCTAAATCCTCAATCCCATGCGTTTAGAAACGTTGCTCAGGTGACTGGGCAGAGAGCATGAGGTTGCGAGTGTAGCTTTCGGGTTCTACGCCTCAGGGTGGAAACATTGCATGGGTTGTCCAGGTCCCCTGCTGCGTGGGAAACAAATTCAACATAATGAATCGGTTCGATGCTGGTGATAGTGGTAATTACGAAGCCAGATGCCGAGGGGGCGGGTTTAGGGTAAAGAGTTTTGCGGGCTTGCTGGTTGGGATCTGGGTGCAGGCAGGTCGAACAAGCGAGCAATTTCTTCCGGCAGTGCTGAATGCGTCATGCGGTAAGTGGGTCAGTGAAAAGGTGAAACCAAGTGGAGTACAAAAGCGCTGGCCAACCTCGGTCACCGGAGATCACCACCATCCAGGCAGTTTCTCAGTATAGCTAGGGTGGTCCTTTGAAGCCCCTGAAAGACTTCGTAAGTAACAGCTCTTCAAACCCAACAAGATAAGCAAGGACGAAACATGGTCGACCATGAATCCACGAAGGCCACAAAAACTCAAGAGGGTTTAGGGTTTAAAGAGGGTTTAGCGCTTTGGGATCAAAATCCAAGGCCTTGCCACGACCCGCAAGCGGAAAGCCTCAAGACCCGCATAGCCAGCCCGACACCGCACGCCAACTGTGGCTTGTCACGAAGTTGAAGGAGTGACCTAGTCAACTTTCAAGGTCTGAACATCAAGAAGCCATTGCTATATATTAGACATCTGGTTGCACATGAATAAACGTGATAAATGCAGAGAGGGAGAGAGAAAGAGTGCGATATATATATATATGCATACATACGTACACACATACACATGTTATTACTACAGAATGGCTCAGTTGGATCATTTTCGCATGTTCGATCCGACTTTCGGCCAGAGCTTTGCATCTGGGGGGAGCCTCAGCTGTCTCCTGGTGCTTGGTTTTTTTGGGGGTTCAGGGTGTCGGGTTGAGGGTTTTAGGATTTAGGGTTTAGGGTTTAGGTTTTAGGGTCGGGTTGAGGGTATCATGTATAAGGGCGGGTACAGAACTCAGACGGCATCTTATCGCTCAGCTTTCCCGTTTAAGCCTACAGGTCTACACTGTAGGAGCCTAACTTGGTGTCCCGATTCCATAACATAACTATGATATGGCCCCTCGAAGAGCATGGTTTCTTAATAAACTTCCTACGTCAGGATTCAACTCTTTTTTTGGCCTTCGCTTCAATCAAAACTTAGGACGCGTGACTTCAGTGTGTTGCACGAGAAGGCTGTTGTGAATCAGCCTCCCCTTCCGAGAACGGTTTACCATGAACTCGCTTTCAACTGGATGCCACAGCGCAATCTACTGCAGACCAGCCCTCAAAGCCTAGAAATTGCAGGCCGCATGGGCTAGAGGGCTTCCCGACGTGTTCCGAAGAGAAACGATGTGCATCGTGCAGGGGAAACCGGGGGCTACTCCTTAGTCAAGCATGAAGCATCCGACTTACAGAAGGTTGAGGATGCGGGTTCAAGGTGACATAGGTTCCCTAATTCTGCCATGGTAGAGTTACAATAAGGAACTAAGTTCCCTGATGGTTAGAGTAGAATAAGGTTTTGCTGTTGCTGTCTATCATAGTAGCGTTACAATAAGGGAGCCAAAGGAATACTGTGGGTAATTACTCAGGCTTGAATATGAGAAAGCTGAGGTCCAAGTCTCCTGGAACTCGTGGCCCCGCGTTGTTAGCCGCTCAGTACACGAGGACGTTGGGCAGACCACCACCCACCGGCATGTTCTTGATGTGCTCGATCACTGCCTGCCGCTGCAGTTATATGGCTTTGGAGGTCTCATACCGGCAAAAGTGAATACCTGGGTGGAGAACCCTGAGGAGTAATGTTCGCAAAGAGTAGGGCCCTGCAGCATTATCCAACCCTAACCCGGCGAAGCAGCAAGATCTAGCTGAAGCCACTAGCTGGAGTAGTTAAACTTTTTGCAAGACTCTGCGAGCTTCGCTGGAGAGCTTACCGGGCTGCCGGACGGACACCTACAATCTCTGAAAGAAGCCACCAAACAATGTCAATGCGGCAGGAAAACAACTCCTATGTCCCAGGCGCCTGGCCGAACCTGTTTGCCCCAATACGCAGGAAGCCGCTGAGATTAAAGGCCTAGCCTACTAAGGGCGTATACACATTATATACGGAAATACAATCAGGAAGCTCTAAGGCACGGCGGACTAAGGGCGTATACACGGTATATATGGAAATACAATCAGGAAGCTCTCTAAGGCACGGGCCTTCGAAACTCTTATATATGCCAGAAACCTACCGGAGAGGAATCACATAACCAACTCTCTGTGTCTCATGATCAGCCCCTGCAACATACGGGAGTCGCTAACAAGAAAGCCTGTAGTACAATAGTTCAAGTCATTTGCTGCTGGCAGGCAAATGCATACGCCCTCTGTTCTGTGCCCAATATCCAGCGCATAGCAGATCAACGACGTAAGGGCTCATGAGGTTTATGGGTTGGTTGCTACAGGTGTTGGTCTGGTCCTATGTAGCTGGAATCGGACATGGTAGAGCATATAGAACTGCTTTCAAGAGCTTTGCGGCGATTTTCTGAGCTGCCGTGTAAAGACTTAGCTTTGGAGTTTCAGTTTAGTGAGGACAACCGCACAAGGTGCTATCGACACAACCCCAAACACGTGGATATTCGGCTCGACATTCTGGGCCCCAACAGAGTCTAGCACTTCATCCACTTCAACATTCGACTCAACCAGGTTCCGAGTCTAAAGAGCGTGTTTGGGGTGTCAGGGTGGCCTAATGGACCGTAAGGTCAGCATGAACCGTCCCGCGTCCTTCAACCGAAACCCAATATAGCAGTTGTTCTCAACACCTGCCCCGTAAACCCTAAACCCTAAACCCTAAGCCTAAACCGTAAGGCTCCAACTGAATAAACAGTACCTGCACGGATTGACACCCAGCTGTCCTTCTGGCGGTTCTGCTGCCGCTCTTGTTCCCGCTCCGTCCGGGTCACCTTCGAAGGTGCAATTAAGGCCTAGGGTTCAGGGTTTACGGGTGCAGTACGCTCCATCAACGTTCTAAACCCTGTGGAATCTACAGATAATAGAAAACAGACAAAGCCCCAATGAAACAACATGGCGTGTTTTGTTTCGTGCAGTAGCCTCTTTACTCCATCTAGCCCAGAAAGGGATACACTGAGACAGGATCCCTAAACCTCAAAACAAAGAAGCCTCTCAGTCAGCGCAGACACTGGTACTCAGCGCTTAAGGTGTGGATGACGAGCCCCCTGTACCCTCCGAACCACAAAGGACATCACTTTGTGCTTAGGGCTTGGGATGTCGGGTTGTGAGGTTATGGGTTCAAATACGCACACACAGAGAAGCACGCGTCGCACACATACACACACAACAAACCATGAAACAAAAGACCCGAGAACCCCGCCGAACCCTCACCAAAACAACACTAACCCATGAAGCACCAAGGCGCGGAAGCTTATGTAAAACGAAACATGTCGTAGGCCACAGTGTGCGCCCTCACACTTCATTCCAACCACGCATTCTTGGCTTCCAAGAATTCTGAAAGAGCCCGGGTTCATAGCTTTGGGCTTCCGGGTTTAGGCAAAGCCTCTAGCCTAAACCCTAAACCACTAAACCCTAATCCCTAAGCCCTGTTTCCACTAAACCCAAAGGAAGCCCAAAAGGACGAAGACCCCTGAGATCCAGCAAAAACATCACCTCGAGTCGGTTCCAGAGCTCGTCGCGCTTCGCGGCTGTCTCATGCCTTGGGTCGGTTTAGGGTCCTAAACCCTAAACCCTAAACCTTAAACCCTAAACCCTAATTTAGGGTTTAGTTTTTCTTTTTTGGTTTAGGGTGTGACGGGGTGAACACGGGCTTTATTGAGGCTTGAGGCTCAAACAAGTGCTAAACCGGGCTTACTACGACAGGGCGTAACAGGGCCTTCACAGGGGCCCAACATCGGAACTGAAGGTACTGTTGATGATAGAAATCCTGCATTACCTTACGGACCCTAAACTATGGGAATGATGGTATACCCCTTATTGTGGGTAGTGCAGCATTGATATCATCAACCGTATGGTTAGGATCCTGCAACTCAGTAGCTGCAAAAGCCAGCTCCTCTTCTTGGGCATGCCGACTTCAGGCTTAGGGTTTAGGGGTTAGGGTTATTAGGGCTTAGGGTTCAGGGGTTTAGGGTTTAGGGCTTTAGGGGTTTAGGGTTTAGGGCTTTAGGGGTTTAGGGTTTAGGGGTTTAGGGTTTAGGGCTTTGAGCTTAGGGTTTTTTGTGGTTGAGGATTTCAGGGGCTTGGCGGGGGCTTCTGATTCTGAGGCTGAAGTCGAGAGATTTCAATGCGAAACATAGCGAGCCAGAGCTCGACAGGTAAATGCTGGCTTAGCTTTGGGTTTCAGGGTTGGTTGGTCAAAACTCTCCTTCAAACATGATGCGCGGTATACCAGAGACCCTAAAAACCCCTAGCCGTAAACCCTGAACCCTACATCCAAAACTCAATAAACCCTAGACCCGTTCCTGTTTGTAGAGTCTGGGAGCATGACCCTAAGCCCTAAATCCTAAACTCAATAAACCCCAAACCCTAAACCCTAAACCCTTTTTGCATCCAGGCCTATTGCAACTGCCGGGTACCCCTGAAAGGCGAGAAAACTGAGGGCCAGGCAAATCTGCAGCACTACTGGCTGCAGCACTCACCCAAACACACAAGACAGTATGCCTTGCATGCGACCTCTCTCAACTAGATCATACATCAGAACTATGCGGAAGTCGGAAAGGACACGTTTGTGAAGAGCATGCCAATCCTTAACCCTAAAACCCTAAACCCTAAACCCCTAAACCCCTAAACCCTAAACCCTAAACCCCTAAACCCCTTGTGTAGAGCCCGGGAGCATGTCCCGCAGAGCCTGCTCTCGGGCCAACTCCCGTTTCGTCCGGGCGTCCTGGAGGACCCCGTGGCTTTTACCCCCTAGGCTCCTAAGTAGTTCCTCTTTTTAGGATTTAGGGTTTAGGATTTAGGGTTTAGGGTTTAGGGTTCATTGGGTTCATATTTAGAATCCTTTCAGGTAATCCCAAAAAGGAACTACTAAGGAGCCTATGGGTAGTGTTGCTTTAAGGTTACGCCCTGACTAACCCCACACTCCAGGCAACGAGCAAAAACAACATACAGCTAAAACCAGTTATTGAAGGTAACAAGTATCTTGTCTAAGGGGCTGTGATTCAAGACCTGTGCATGACGGCTTTTAACCCCTCCAAACATTAAGACTAAAGACAAAATCATTCGAGACAGCGATCTTTTCCATCTTGATACCTAAGAAAAATTCGTAGAATACGTGCCTTAAGAACTAGAACAAGGTTGTTTGTCATACATGCATACATACATACATA